GGGGGGGACAAAAGCAGCAGGGCCAGGGGATGGCAGTCTCCGGATAAAACTTGTGCGGCAGGAAAGCCGGGGATTCAAAAGCCGAAAATCCCAGCGGGGAGAAGGTGTCCTGTGCTCCCAACGGCTTTTTCGGGACTGCAGGCAGCCCCAAATACCTCTTTCCATTTCTACTCTCTCTGTCTGCTGCCTCGGAGTGGGAACAGGCACAGAAATCTCCCCCACCCCCCGGGCTTATTTCAGCCAAGTGGGCCAGGGAGTTAGTCCGAGCTCAGAGAGACCCTGAGCTGGCATTTGGAAGGATTTGGAAGGGTTTCCTCGCCCCATGAGACTCTGAGCTGGGATTTGGAAGGGTTCCCTTGCCCCATGATGGCTGCGGGCGTCAGAGCCGCCCCTTCCCCTCCCTCACCACGGGGTCTTTGACGATGTCGAGCAGGCTGATGATATTGGGGCCTCCTCGGAGATTCTCCAGGATCTTAATCTCCCGCTTGATTTTTTTCTTTTTCACAGGCTGAGAAAAGAGAAAATGAGAGAAAATGAGAGCTGGTTCCGAGCAGACGGACCTCTGCAGCCACCACGAGCTGTGCACACAAGGGAGTGCACAGTTCTTCTGTTCTGCCAAGGAAACGGCGACGAGCAGGCGTGTTCTCTAGTTTCCTGCTTCCCGAGGATGGTGGCTGCTCCCTGCCAGGGTTCCTGGTGTCACCCAACCCCACGCCAGCCCTGGGGATGAGCGGAGGGAGTGATTCCATGCTAGAATCACCCCAGTCACCCCGGAGAATGGTGTCCTGCGAGCTCGGCCGTCTCACAGCTCTCCGCTTCAACAGAGCAGGGTCTCCTGCCTTTGGGAAGATTATTTTACTTACAAAAAAGATTATTTTACTTACAAAAATGCTTTTAAAGAGCAAGGTTCATTTCTTCAAGTCCCAGGTTGAAACTTTGTAAAGTTACCCAAAAAAAAATCATCACCCAGTGCAAGAGCTTGAGATCCGTGTCTCCATAACCCCCCAGCACTGCTCCCTACCCATCCCCAGCCCCAGTTTCACTGGGAAAACCCCCCCACGCCGCTGAGCAAGCGCAGGGATGGCTCAGGATGTGTCTGATTCGAGTCTCGTGCCTCTGAGGACAGGATGCTCCTTCTGCTTTTTGAGCGAGCTTTCTGCCTCTCCATCCCAGGCTGGGAAAAATACAGGGTGAATAAATTAATGAGGACGTTTTTCATGTTTTTACTCATAATCTGCCTGTCTGCCAGGACTTTGTTAGCATCGGGGAAGCCCCCTGTGCGCTCCCTGGGGACACGCCGGGGTCCCTGCGCTCATCCCCAGGGCAGGAACCGGCTCCAGCTTTCGGGCTGAGACATCGCGTGCTGCAATGGGAGCAAGCCACACGTCTGCACATCCCGGGATGGATTTCCAGGCTCCTGCGGCCTTGCCGGGGCAGGGAACTGCGCCCCACGAATCCGGCATGGGGATTTTATCAACTTGGATCCGTAATTCTGGTTTGATCAGAAGGAGAAGAGCGACTGGAAATATTTTGACTTGGGGATCGATGTTTTCCGCAGCTGAGATCATCCAAACATCACCGGAGGGCTCCCAACAGAAAAGGCAAAGGAGCGGAAGCCGCCGAAGCATCGGTAGAAGAAAAAAAACAGTGATATCAAGACACCCACCTTGAGGATTTTCACCACGACCTTCTCGTTGTTGGTGATATTGATGGCTTCAAAAACTTCGCTGTATTTGCCCCGGCCCAGTTTCCGCACGAGCTGGTAGTCATCTTGGTTCCTGTTTGAGAAAAGAGAAATAAAAGAGGTGAAGAGATGGCACCTGGCTCAAACCAGAGACAACGCTTCTCCCCGGGGAAGGGCACAATTTGGGGGGAAAATGGGGAGCTGGCAGCACACCCCCAGTCCCTGGGGCTGATGAGAAGCAGCCGCTGCCACCCAGGAGTGTGAAAACCGACCGGTGACCAACCAGGGAGATGGAGACACCAGACCCCATGGGTGTTACAGGGAACTTGGGGACGGCTTGCACGCACCCCAGCCCCACAGCAAACCCTCCTGGCACCCCGAAAACACCTCTGCCGACACCCTGCACTCTCCCTCCCAGCCCAAGCGTTGTGCAGAGACGACGCTTTTCCGCCTCCTGCCCTTCCTGGTGAGGAAGAGGAGGCAGTGGGCTGCAAAGACGCGCTTGGCTGAAGCTCCAGAGCCCACCAGCAATTCGCCGACCAAATACCTGGCGTAAAAATCGCCCTCCAAGGTGTAAAGGATCTCGCACCCCCTGAGGATTTGTAAAAAAAAATATTCCATAGAAGAAATCTGATGGAAATAAACCAGCTCTCAGTTGTAAAACCTCCCTGGATTTAAACCCACCGAGGTCTGAGCAAAGTCACCCGAGGGGAGTGAAGGAAGCAGCGGAATCATTTCTGCTCTGCCACGGAGGGGAGGCTCAGGGCCCCCTGGGGGGTTCGATAAGAAGAAAGAAATTGAGAAAAGAAAGGGGATTATGGGCAGGGAAAGGCTGACTTCGCAAATTGTTCATTAGCAGAGAGGTGATAGGTCGGCACCTCAAGTCAAAGGAGGAGAATTCCAACCAAGGAATTCCATCCTGAACCGAAGGATCTGCTCAGCAAACGCGGATCGAGGGCTTCCAGCCGGGGAGGATTCATTAATCCATCCTCGCCAGGAGCCAGGCAGAAAGGCTCAGAGAAACATTTGCTGTGAGGGTTGTTTGGGGGAAAAAACCCCCCTGGGATGGTGGTGGGAGGGATGGAATCCCCATCCCAGAGCGAGTGGAGCCTGGCAGGGCTCTGCCGAGCACAGGGGATTTGGAGCTTGATGAAAAGATTTTTATTTCTAGGTCAGCGGTGCCGGCAACCGGTGTGCAGAGAGGAGGAGAACACCGGGGACGGCTTCTCATCCAGCCTCAACGGCTTCCTTGGCGCCCAGCCCTTGGATAAAATACTTATTTTTCAGATTTTACCCCAAATACTGAACGAAGAGCGGGCTCTGTCCCCGGTGGGCAGCGTTCCTTCGGCCCCAAGCGCCAGGAAGGACGATGCTCTGAAGCAGGGGAGCGATTTTTTTGCTATGTTAATACCTGTGAAGATAAAGCTGGCCCTTTGCCCAGCCCATTGTGGATAAAACCAACAACTCGGCTTAATTTTGAGTTCTCAGAGACTCCAATCCTCAGGGAACTCAAAAAAAAAAACAACAATTAGAATCACCAGACTGCCACCTTCATCCTTTCAAGCCCCTTTTTGCTCCGGCCCTGTTTGCCCCGGGACCGTTTCCCAAGCATCCCACAGTTGTTCCCCATTATTCCTGGTTGGTTTTTGCCGCAGCCATCCTTCCCAGCAATTAAAATCAAGCCCTGATCATGCTGCTTTAATTAAGAGCTTAATTCTGTGCCTAGAACAGGCACCTGGCTCAATTTTGAAGGCTGAAATCCAAGTGGCACCACTCACAAAGCTGCTAGAGGAGCCGCCGGCAAAATTTCCGCGGAAAATCAGGTCCCTGCTTCCTACCACTTTGCCGCGACGGCATCGCCAAAAACCAAACTGCCGGTTCCCCCTTGTGCCGCGGCCAGGACGGGGACTCGGAGACCTGCCCCCCGTTTTGTCCCTGGTCCCCGGTGTGTGTCCCCCTCCCCTGTCGCAGGCGTACCCCCATTCCACGACGTGCGACTCGTAGTCCCAGTACTCGCGGGGTCTCTGAGTGTTCACATCTGCATAGACCCTGGCCCGACTCGGCACCGGCCCCGACATGCTTCGGCCACAAGCCGCAGCGCCTCAATCGCCCTAAAAACACAAACACACAAGAGCTGGGGTGAGACCACGGCAGAGAAATGGGGGGAAAAAAAAAAGGGGGGAGACACGTGTTGGGGCTGCGTCAGCTTCGGCCCGGAGCCAGTAGCACTGCTATTCTCCCTCGCACCCCTTCCCAGCCCCATTTTCTCCCCCCCCAGGTTGCTCTGCCCACCCTGGAGACCACCGGAGCCAAGGGGGAGCAGCCCTA